ATATTCAGGAGGCAACGAGTTAAGCATAAATTGCACCAGAAATGAGTCATCCACAGTCATGCCAGGGACTTAAGCCTTGCTGCAAGATTAGTCATGTCAAGAACATGTTGCTGTATACTACGCGACCCATCATACTTTTTGTTCGTGAGTTCAGCCATAAGTGTTCCTGCCAATGACTTATCCGCGGAACGAAAACGCTCTTCCACAAGCAAAAGATATGCTTTCGCATCCATATTATCGGGAAGAGTTGACTTAATGTTGTTGGCAATCGTCATTCGCATAAAGCTCAAACATAATCTGTTAGACCTGTCCCAAGCCTTACGGTTTGATTTCTCAGCCTCACTGCTTTGATCATTAATGTCAGCAGGCTTTTCTTCAAGCAGAGCCAAGTCAATATCCAAAACACTTAAATGGAAATTGACTTGCTCACGCCATTCAGAGAAATTCAAACCATTGAAGACAGTAACAGAAGAAGCTTGCGAATGAAGAGAGATAGATGCACAATCATAAAAGCTCACTTAATTAATATATTCAGAAATCATTCATAAAATATATTGCAGGTCTCCTTTGGGTAAACACAACAATATATATCATTGTCATAAGTCGAATGTCATTTAATACTTAATGAAAAATTAAATAAACTTCACCTAACATACATAGTATCTTTGGATATCTACATATGCTCGACAAAATATATTATATTTCTCCTTAATGTTTATTAGTTATGGAACATTGATTCACCTTTGGGTAAATCTATAATTTCTAACAACCAATAAACTCATTATCTTAAATAATGACATTCTCAAAAGAACATAAGTTATATGACCAAACATTAGAAAATCAATCCGGCCACTTTGGTGACTAACAAATTGATTTTATCTTAATGGCATATAACAATTAATTGTGACAATAATATTATATGACCGAACATTAAAAATTAATTAGGCCACTTTGGTGACTAACAAATTAATTTTATCTTAATGTCATATAATAAAACATTCATAACGATAGATTATATGACCAATCATTAAATATTAATTAGGCCACTTTGGTGACTAACTAATTAATTTTCCCTTAATGTCATATAATATAATAATCATAATCATAATCATAATATTAACAAACTAACCCTTATAATTCATAAACATAATGGGAATTTGTTAACTCAATCATCATCTTGGTTGTGGCTTGGTCCGTCGAGGTGGTCCCTGGCTGAGTCGTTGTCTCCTCGGTCTCTCTCCTCTTCCCGTCGTCTGCGGCTCTGACCTTCTGCACCGGTGAAGCAGTACCTGGGTCGGCGAGCTTCCGTCTTCGACGATCGGCAGCGTCGTACGGTGGTAAGCTTCTCTTTTTGCTGCTTTCTCTCGGTTTCATTAGCTGCGGCAGGTGGCGGACTTCTCAGTGGTCGGTTGTGTTCGGCTGTGTTCTCGGCTGTGTTCGGCTGCTTCGTCGGCAGTGTTCTCCTCGTCTCTCTGAGGCGATTCTGGCCGCTTTTGGGGATTGGACTGATTAGATGGCTTTTGGCTGGGTCATTTGGACGATGCCTAGCATTGTAGGATTCCGGCCCTGTCCTCTTCGTTTTCGGCTGCCGGGCCGGTTTGGTTGAGGCTACCCAGGACTGCGTTGGTAGTATTGTGGTGGAGTCGGTTCGACTGGGGGTCGGTTGCTTCCTACATTTGTGTGGAGTGCGGGCTAAGCACTTGGTTAGTTGTTGGATGGCCGAGCATTCGCCTTGCTAGGCCTTATGCAGTAGTGGGTGGAGGTTTGGTTCTCTGAAGCTGGCCTCGGTTTTAGTCTGTTCGGCTGACATTTGGATTCGACTGTTGTGGGGGACGTATTAGTTAGTAGTTAGTTGTTTAGTTTGTGTTGTGTTGTGCGTGTCTTGTGTCTCATGTTTATTTTGTGTTTTGTGTTTTTGGTCTGGGCTGTTGGCCCCTGTTAACCTAGGTGTTACCTTATTCTCCTGTTGGGAGCAAACACCTAGGCATTCTCCTGTTGGGAGCCTTTAGTTTTTAGTTTTGTGTATGTGTTATAGTTGTGTTTTTCTCCTGTTGGGAGTTAGTTCTTTTTGTTCGTTGTTTGCGTGAGGTTTTATTCTGGCGTTGCCAGCGATTCTAGGCGGACTTCGGTCTAGCCTCCAAGTTTGTAATTTCGCACTTTTGTGCGCCTTTTATATAGTACTTCTATCGTTTTGGGAAAAAAAAAGATTAACTAATAAGTACGCATTCATGTTCTAAACATATAAAGAACACAACTTCATCAATTTCCATTAAACTGATTTATATAAATAAAATCAAACTATAAATCAAATGTCACACAATCAGAGGCACCTTGACAACTTGAATTGGATATCTTAAACAATTTTCCAAAAGGAACAAATAATTCTTGGTGCCAAGGTTATGCGCACACCTTATGAAATTCACCATAATGCTTGTTTTTGTCAAAATTGCACATATATGAAATATAATGACGGCAGACAAATCAGTACAATACAACAGAAATTAACGAATTGATATACGCACAGAAAACTGATGCTTTATTCATCAATCGATATAAACTTCATTATTGCCATCAATTTGATTAAACTTGTCCAAT